CCCCCCCCCCCCCCCCCCCCCCCCCCCGTGCTAGGGGCCCGGGCCAGAAAATTGGTACCAGGGCCCGAGATGGGATGTGGCGGGCCTGCCGTCGATCCACCGATATTTTGCTGCATCTAGCAATGATTTCTACATTCACACACCCTTCCCCTCCATGCACTCCATGGAACCTTTCAAGGTTCTTTATCTTTTCTAAACAAAGTTTTTTCTGAAGTGCTGATGATATATTACTTGAAAACAAAATATTTTTTCTATCCCAACCAGGTAGTTTAGTAAGTTTTCAAGCTTGCAACTTTGATAGTATTATAACTCTATAAGTATCAATTTTCAGGGAAATGAGACACCTATATTTTCAGAATTCACCAGAAAACTAAGATAGCTACTTGCGAGTAATTTCATGGCATAATTTTTAAAATAAAATTGATACAAGTAAAAAAATCACAAATTACAAAACGATATCTAAAATATGAAAAAGTGTGAATCCTTGCAGAAAGACGAAGTTTCCTGTTGGTTTGGTTTCATTTGAGGTTTAAAAAGAGGATTATCCTCTTGTTATAATGATAACGGCCAGTTTGGTTTTAACTTTATCAGAGTTTTAGGATGGTTCGTCTGTGTTAACCAGGCATTGCAGGTTGGAAGAACTTACAGAAATTGCTGTTGTGCCCATTATGATTATTGAGTTGTATTGCATACAACTCACATCTTATCAGATGTTGCAATTAATTTACAATAGTCTCGTTCAGAGTATCTTGTTTCGGATACAAAAGTGCATATAGACTATGCCAACGTCTCTTTATGTCGCAATCAGCCCATACCATACTTCGTTGGTGCACCTTTTCTTTTAGGATAATCGAACCGACTGCATGTTTAATATTATAGCTAGCATAATTAGGATTAATTATAGCTAGCATAATTAGGATTAATTATAACTAGCATAATTAGGATTAATTATAGCTAGCATAATTAGGATTAATACTCTGTAGTTACCTATCTCACTAATAAAGAAAAAAAAAAAAATTCTACCTGATTTTGAGCAGTTCGCAACAGGTTCATTAGAAATTGAAAAAACCATAGAAACCCTGAACTGTAGTGGAAAGCCCCTCCTCAAAGGACCAGCCAAAATGCTTTTATTTACAAGATGATAGTTTAAAACTTCAGTTGGCATTTGTAAAAACTCCATCCAGCTCATAAAAAGCGATAAGTTGTGACCAAGTATGTCCTCTTTTTTTGTAAATGTTAATAATTTTTTTCTACCTGCTACTTTTTCCTTCCTGAGCTTGAGGTTTCCGCCTCACTGATCGAGAGTCTTCTTTGATGCACCCGTCCCCGGCACAAATTAGAGGTTTCAAAGAGGTGCATCAAATGAATTGTTGTTGTTGTTGACTGATAGTCGGCCTGATTATCTCTGAATGGAACTGATGTGCTAAGGACCCAAGTTAGTCCAGATTTTGAGATTTTTAAGGAATTTCGTGCAGAAATGGCTGAGCAATGACAGAATTAGTGCTGATTTGAGAGTCTCAGTTTGTGCGTGGGATGGGCGCTTAAGAGCTCTGTCCCACTGGCTGAGAAAGCTCCTTCCCCGGTAGCAATGACCTTTATAAAAAATTTTTGAAAACTCTTAAAAATCGGTTAAAATATTCAAATTAGGAGAGTATTTTTGGTTATTTTTTAAAGTGAAATTTAAGAAAAGAACAGTTAAAAAAACTCCTAAAATATCACTGTAGTTTTTTTAACATTTCCAAACATTTTAAGTGTTGAAAAACTAAAGTTGATATTTTCAGAGTTCTTCTAACACTTTTTCAGTTAAATTTTACTGCTTGTAAATTTTACTGAAGAAAATAGCCAAAAAAGGTTTCCGAATACGAATATTTTAACAGTTTCCTTAAGAGTTGTCTTTTTGAAATTTAAGGGTTATTTTTAAAAAAAAAATAATTTAACAGTTGTTGCTACTAGGGCAAGTGTAGGTATAATTTTTTCCAACCTGAAATGGAAATTCTTCTTCCAACATTCTACGATCAATTTATTCCCCATTTTTGGTCTCCTCTATCTTTTGCTTTGTCAGCTTAATATCTGTTTATTTTCACAGATGGCAAGAGTCAACTTTAAGCAACTCCTGGGCCCTGTCGAAAACCGCATGGCCGGTTGCGCAGGTTGAAGCAGCTTTCTTGCCAGAATTTAGAATCGGCAGTGAAGTATCAAATGACAGCTTTGAGGTAAAATCGACTGCTAAAATTTTTATTTCTAGTGTGATGGGTATCAATAAAGGCCGATTAATTGATAAATCATGCATTATTTTTCATCAGCGTATTATTTCACAATAAAAATTTGTTGCACTTTCTGTTTCATCGCCAGAATAGGCCACTGATGAGGTCCTTGCTGACTTACAATGTCGAAATGTTTTCTCTTCAAAATCTCGAGCCGAAAGGAATAGATTCATGTAAATGGAAGTTTGGAAATCAACCGCTAAAGGAGAATTAACAAGTATTTTTAACACAGATCAAATGGAAGTTAGGTTATACAAATGACGTCCTTTGTATTTTTGGCGTTTAATCCATGATGATTTTGAACACATATCTTGACTAAGAATTGATTTCCAGACTTCGTGTTGTTTGACTTTTTCCTTGTGAAATTTTGAAGAGAAATCATGTTCAGAAGTGCTTTAATTCATACTTTGTCTATAGGCCCATCATGAGATACGATTGATGCTCTGCAGCCTGTGACAAGATATACAATAATAAATGTGGGTTAGCTGCCGATATAACACTCTTGAGTTCCTAATGTCCCGCTTAAAAGCTAAAACCCTGGTTTTACAAGAGTCGGGGTTGGTGTATTAAATTCCATGCTCCAAATGCGATTTGTCCCACATTGAGCAAACTAAACAACTTCTGTGCAAGCTTATGTCGCAGCGTAGGAATGACAGCGAAGAGTTAACAGCTCTCAGAAATCATCAAAGAGAGCTCAGTCACCAGTTCAATTTTAACCAGGTTGAAATTTGATGTCGGGAAGGGGAGCTATTTCCTAGATTGGTGTGGGAAATTATTGAAATTTTGGAGCATGATGAATCCGTTTGTAATTCCCGCTCAGACGAGAGTGGACTCAGTACTCTCTACCACCAGTTCTTCCGAAATCAGGAGTTGCACGGCCTATTTGAAATTCCGTGTACCATTCACCCGGGTACACGCCTGGTTGGTGTCGCTATCTATTGGTTGAAACTTTAAGAGCTGGAGTGGTTTTACCGATGCTTGTTTGAGGTGTTTCTTGTTGACTGTGTTATCAAAATTTCTTTCCTAATAACATTCTCGCTTTGAAAGGTACAGCCAGGTACTATTTTAGATTTTTACCATTTTTCTTTTTACTATTTTATCCAACTAGGAAGACCAAGTTTTCAGCCGAAACGTTTTGGTTTTATTAGTGAAAATTAGCCTTGATGCTCGTTTTATTATTGTATTCTCGTCTCTTCATTCCAAGATGATAAAAAAATACCTGAAATAAAAGCCTTATTTTCTTGTTAATGAATTTTAGATAATGGAAAATAATCCCAAATAAGAAAATAACAAAAATTTTCAGTCATATTATTTTGCATGTAGATCAAGTTGTTGATGCATCATAGTTAAATTTAAAAGAAAAAAACCAGAATGTGAATTTTTAGCATGTAAGATAGGTGGTTGTTAAATAAAATAAATAAATAAACAAATAAGTTGTGCCTCTCTGCCGCAGGTTTTAAGCGAAATATCCAAAGGAGCTTTTGGCGTAGTCTACAAAGTGATGAAAAAGGATTCAAAGGAATTGTTCGCAATGAAAATCCTACAAAAATATCAGGTACAGTATACTCATTCTCTGTTGACTAGGGTGAGGCAAAAGCTAAGTCTCAAGTTCAATGCTATTTTACATCGTCTGATGATTGATGAGTGACCTGTCGATCATTATATCGACCTGATGGTGACTGATGAATAACCAACCGAAGCAAGCTTGTTAGACTTGGTCTTGTTTGCTTAATAAAGTGCTCAACACTTCGGTCATCAATCATCTACAGGCGAATCTCAGTGTTGACTACCAAAAATAACTTCTACACTTTAGAAAAGGTAGCCAGTGGGGTAGCTGTAGTATGCTGTCTCTGAGTGGGTGAGAAAAATTCACAGAAAGAAAAGAGAATGCCAGTTTTGCAGAACAGAAAAGCTCTAAGAAATGGCGCGCCACTCGCTTGAACTTTGAAAAAGAGTCAGTGATTATCGTTATTCAGTTCCCTGTTGTAATGTCATAAACATACACTGAAAATTCCATCAGTGATTGCTTTAAGGGTAAAGTTTGCATGAGGTGCCAAAATACTTGTTAACATTTGTCAACAAAAGAATCTTTTTAGTTTGCCAAAACAAAACAAAAAAAAAAAAAAAAAAAAAAAAAAAAAAAAAAAAAAAAAGCCAACTGATTCTCAAGGGATTTTTACCATTGATTCTGACAGTGGTCTTTGTTTTTCTGAATTGGTTTGGTTTTGCATGGAAAATTCGGATTTCACCCCATAAACTGAAATCAGAAAAAACTCGCTAGGTGTGTAATATGTTCTCACCTATGTTTTTTTGGCTGCTGAATCGGAAAATAGCTCATTCCTTTCATCCTGCTCAAATTTTTCGGAACTCAAATTTTCCTCGGAAAAGTTTGATTTTTATTATGAGAAAATTTTGGATTTTTGGAATCAGCACTAGCTGCCTACTGTAATTAGTCGCTAATTGTTTTTCAAATTGACCCATTTTGACCAGTGCTCATCTTAGAGAGAAATATATGATAGAGTTTGTAAAAAATTTCTTAAGTGCTGAGAGAATTCTATGATCTTGGTTTTCCATTTTTTGTTGTTTCTTCCAAAAATTAGTATCTATCCTCTGACTGTCATTCATCACTTGGTTTGTGCCTGATTTTAATTAAAATATCCCTCTACCATTCTAGGTATCATCAACTGAAGAATAATATCAGTGATCTACATTAGATAAGGCCTGAACTAGAAAAAAATGTCGCACGCTTTCTTCTCAAAATCTTAAATAGAAAACAATTGAAATAATGTGGAGTTCAGAAATCAATTAAACAAGATATTGACAAATATTTTCAACATAGATCAAGTGGAAGTTAGATTACACCGATGATGTCATTTCTATTTTTGCCATAATCATTGTTAATTATAAACATTTATATGTATCTTGTTTAGACATTAATTTCCAGACTTTTCGTCAGATGATTCGTCATTCGTTTTCCTCAAAGCAAGTTTGAAAAGAAAACATGCTGTACGGTGCATTAATTCATACTTTGTCTAGGGGTCCATCAAAATTCTCTCAGTTGATTTGCGAAGACTTTCTTTTTTACAAAGGACTAAAAGAGCCGTGGACAATCAACAAATTACTATTGCTTTACTATTTAGCGGGATTCCAACTTGTTAGAAAATGATTAAACTGTCCGATTCACAGCACAGAATGAATTTCTGTCCAGTAGTTGTGCTTGCTGAAAATGTAAGACCAGCTGTATCGTTTCCTATGCGACAGTAAATGAAAGAATTTGCAATTTATTTATGAATGGGCCTGTTGCAAACTTTTGCTGGAGCACAAATAAGAGTTGTTCCTAATAGATAATGTCTCAAAAATTACGATGAGCACATCGACAAACTCTGGAATGCACTCCTAACTTCACGATGTGTGTAAGAAATGTGCGTTCTTTCAAGCTACCAGCTTCCAAAAGGATACTACGGCACAGACGAACATTCTATCGAAGGAATCGTTCCATTCAATCCCATGCTCAACATGGCCGACGCTTCTGCATGCAAGTTGAGGAGAGCACAAGGTTAATCAAGGCGGATATCTATCAATGCTAGAAAAAAGTGAATGTAATCATGACTGTTGTTATCAGATGGTTAAAATCATGGTCCCGTCACATGTGTTTAGGCGGATTGGCGTCGGTTATGCTGAATATTGCGTATCATCCTTGTGAGCAGGAGTTGGATGGAATGACTCCTCCAACAAAATGTTCACCTGTCCTGTGGTATCGTTTTCGAAGCGGGAAGCTCGAAAAAACGCAAATTTCCTATGCAAATTGTGAAGTAAGGAGTGAATTTCAGACTTTGCCAATACGCTCATCATAATTTTTGAGACACTTTCTATAAGAAATAACTCTTAATTTTGCTGTAGCAAAAGTTTGGAACAGGCTCATTATCAATTCTGCTTTACTTTTTTCTCACTAATTTATTCTTTTTGCAGATAATTAACGATAAAGCTGTGCAGCAGGTTAAAAATGAAGTGAAAATCCAGTCAATGTGTGGCCATCATCCTTTTGTCGTTAACTGTCCATATTATTGGCAAACCAAGCGAGAATTATTCATAGGTTGGTACCAAAATGAATTTTCAGTCGAGTGAAGGAACCAGTTTGCCTTCTTCATATCACTGTGATACAATTCTATAGTTATTTTTCCCTTCTTTCTTTTATTTTCAGCCGTTATGAAGACATTAGATTTTTTTTGACCCTTTAAATCTGAGCTGTGTGCATCCACAAGACAAGCTGCAAAAAAAACTCAAGGAAAAAAGTTTGAGAAACGAACTGTCAGAGCTTAGTGATGCAAGCTATGACAGTCTGACTTGCAAATTGAATCTCTCTAGAAAGGAAAATAACGCAATTTTTAGAAAAGAAAGGCCTTCCTCACCTCTCGCTCTTGCTTCAAAGCTTGAAAATGGCTAAAATGCCATCTTGAAAGGAGTGGCTTTAAAGAAGAAAACTGAAATTAGATTTCAAAGGCTCCTTGTGAAGCACTAAAAAATAGATGAGACCAACTAAGCGAGTGTCTCCCAGCCAACCAGAAATGGCGTCAGGGTATGCCAACGTTACTTATGCCCAGTGGACGAAGGCGTAAGTAGCTTCAGCATGACTGGAAGATGGTGAGAAACTTGGGAGGTGAGGGGCAGGAACCACTTCCTACAAATATTATAATTATTTACCGTTAAGGTAAAAAAAGTAGAAATGATTGAAAAAAAAAAGGTTTTCTATCAGTTAAGTAACAATATGTCACCTAAAAAAAGGAATATTAGTTTTTAAAGAAATCTGCATCAGAGAGAAAAAAACTCGAGCTTTATCATACTATAGAATGCACAAATGCTAAGGGGTTCAAGCTGATGAAACTGCTGAAGTTTTGTGAAGTTAGGTATTGATCTTTAATCTTTCCTATTAATGCAGTTGATCAGCATTAGTGCTTAACATAGTCCACGCAAAATAAGTTTATGCACTTTTAAATTGCAACAGGAGATCTGCCATCTTGATTCCAGCATTTACTTTCCATGCTAAAATGACTCAGACCATCTTCTGTTTGAGTCTAAAAGTACATTGTTATTTGACGTCGACTCTGAAAGGAGTAGATGCCGAGTAAGCCTGAAAAAAAACCAAAAAATATAAATATCCTTTTCTTGAGAAACTTTTTTAACTTAGCATTTTTCTGCTCATTCACTTATTTTTTTCTCTTCAGAACTTTATTTTCCATTTGCAGTCGCGTTTCTAAAATCCTAAACCTTATCGCAATTGAGCAGAATATTGTAGTAATTTTTGTTAATGGTACAATATCTGTGACTATGCTTTGATTGTCTTGAGCTAGTGTATGGTGCAAAGTGCTCATTTCCATCTCATGATATCTCATCCTCTCTCTCTGTTTTTGCAGTCAGCGACTATGTTGAAGGAGGAGAACTTTCTGATCTCTTAAATAAATTTGCTCCTTTTTCTGATGAACTTGCAAAAATTTACATAGCAGAACTTGCTCTCGCCATCGGTAATCATTTTACGCATTTCAAATTCCTATACTTAAGCTTTTAGTTCCTGTTTAATGTAAAGAAAAACTTGAGATTTGAAGAATAATTTGAACATTTGAACAAATCCTTTTGTTTTTTTTCTCTACCATATGGAACACTCATATGAAATTTCAAAAAATGTAAATTCTTTATGAAAGCCCCTTGTTTTTAGATTTGAAACTATTCATACCTCTATCGCAAAAATGTATTGCAATGGCTGCTGGTGATTTTTAAAATGATTTTAAACTTAATATAAATTAAAATGCATTCAGAAAGAAGTTCTCTTTTTAGATTCCAGCTATAAGAATGATTTTTGCCTAGTTAGCACGCAGGGTGTCCACAGGTCACTTAATCATGTTAGGTCATATAATATTGTTATATTTTAATTTTTCTCATAATTTTATGAAAAAGTTATCGCTGGATGTTTGTTTAATCCTTTTGGGTTAAAATTCTCAGTCTAGCAGTCAATTTATGCTAGTATGCAAGATCGCATGCACTTTATTTTTTTCTGCCTCTCAAAACTTAAAATATCTCTTTAAAATCTATCATCACATGGTTATTAATGGATAATTTTCTTTTCTTTTCTTGTAAATTAAGAGAAAAGTCACAATTTCATCACTTTTAAAATCAAGAAATGTAATATTGCTAGTAACAATTATTGTTATTTATATGATTGTTATTTATAGTATTACCTTATAATTTTTGTTCTTTGTAAGCATTAGTTCCAATGAGCATCTCTTTAATAGGAGGATGTTTTCCTGCAAGCCGTTTTTTAATGGGGACTAAAAGCATATTTATTAGCTTCGTGGTCATGTTTTTTTGCAAAAAAATGGTCGTATAAAGTCATATAAAAGTGCTATATTTCTGCCCTGGGTCTCTATAGACGTTCTGACCATGGTTTTATTTTTCAGATTTTTTGCACAACGCCGGTGTTATTTACAGAGATTTAAAGCCAGAGAACATACTTTTAGACTGCGATGGACATATTCAAATCATTGATTTCGGTCTATCCAAATGGTTACCTTATAATTCGAGAACAGGAACAATTTGTGGAACTTTCCAGTACATGGGTAAGATCTCTTGATATTACGTTTTGAAAAACTCTTTTATATCATAGAGAAGGGAACAATCAGTGTAAACTGAGTCGGAGCAAAAAGCACATAAGGGAAGGTAAGTATAAAAATTTAGAACAATTAAAGGACTCACTTGCATGTTGATGATTGAAGACAGTAGACGCTCTGGTCTCAGTGACACCGTGCTGAGGAAAAATGCTGTCTGAGCCTTCAGACATTGCCAAATCTCCTAAGATAATAGACAAAGGACCCTGCACACCTCTTATGGGAAGCTGCACCATGAAGGAACATTAATTTATTTATGTCATTCGATTCTCCCGAAGGTGCTGATCAAAAGTTATAATTGCGCCAACTTTCTATGATGCACCCTTTTTGCAAAAAACCGCCGAGAAGATTCAATTATTCTGCGATAAAAAGCCAGAAAGATTCCTCATTTTAGTACTCGATTGACAAGCGGCTGTGTGTCAACAAAGAAATAAGAGGAACTTCAACGGACGTGTCGAGAGTGGGAGGAGGGGGATAGCCCTAGAATTGGCAGGTACAGATAAGAAGACGGACACGTGCTTTGTTTTTTCTTCATTAACATCGGGCTTGTTCTCAAATGGGTCTCAAATCTCAACTCCGGTTAAAAATTCAAAGCTGAAAAAAAATTTTTTTGAGCATGAAAAGAATTGTCAAACTTTGTCCTTAACATTGAATTTCATAGAAGAATGATATTCCAAACCTTTTTTCCTTGGTTCAAACATAACGCAACATGATGCATTGTTTTTGGTGGCATAGTTGCACACGCTTTCTCTGAATTTTTTCGATTGCTTTTGCCTCCAAAAATTAAAACCTTACTTTCATTCTGGCAATCTCTTCAAATCAGATTTGTTTATCTCCTCTCACAATGCTTTCTTAGTTTTCTAACTCAACTAAAGATAATGGAGAATTTGCAAGTGTCTGAAATTTGACGAATCCGTGTTTAAATGGATGCTACCAAGTGAGCTGAACATGAGGACACCCTTGGTTCATAAATTGAACAATTATTGGAGAAAATATGACAAAATGATCTAATCTGCTAAAATACATGCGTTTAAATGGGAAATTCTGCCAAATGAAGTCACTAAGCGGCACATTTTCTCCTTTTTAAATCTGTTTACATACTATTTCCCATTGGCGGAAAAAATAATAAAAATTACTTTAAAATCAGCTCTTTAGGCACTTTCAGATGAAGCAATAAAAAATTTGCGTGCAAATTCTCCATTCTTTGAAACCGTTACCTTTTCTGTTTCCTAATCCTCTGGCCTTCTAAAAGAAAAATAGAAAAACCAGAATATCAGGAATCAGAAAGGTAAAATTTTTAAAGAATTATAAAATTTGAATCCTGTTGAAAATGAAAAAGTTAACAAAATATCAACTGAAGATGATTGAATTTTACCTCACAGCTCCAGAAATCTTCAGTCCTGAACTATACAGCCACGCAGTCGATTGGTGGTCATTGGGAGTAGTAGCATGTAGACTTCTAACAAATCAGGTAAGTACTCATGCTTTTATGAGAGAATTTTTTACTTTTTGCAAGTTGCGATGAAGAAAATAATCGTTGCGTCAAAGAGGAGATGATGCTCTACTTCAAAATCCATGCCTTTTTTTCTCTGGTTTAGCAATTTGGAATTTTTTTCAACAGGAGATTAAAAATTTTTTGTGAGTTTCTCCGAGATTAAACATATTGTATTTACGATTTCAAGGTGGAATGTTGCTTACCTTTAGTTTTGCTGTAGAACAATAAGACTTGAAAGGAAATCAAGCAATGTTCAACGCAGTTAGGATGAATCTGGTGAATGTCTTTTAGTGTGGGGGATTGTTTTGGTAAAATTGATTTATTGAATCAATTCGATTTTCTTTGAGAATCCGATTTTATTGATTTAAATCGTGAAAAAAAATCGGAAATCATAAAGGCTCAAAATTTTCATTAAAAAAGAAAAACTATCAAAGGAAAATTGCCGGAAAGTTTGCTAAAATACTGGTCCAAAGATCGGCTCACATCCCAATTTAGTACTTTTGGGCTGCAAAATTCGGAATCTTCGACTTTGAGGGGAAAAATCGGGATTTTCGACTTTGAGGAGAAAAATCGGCTTTTACGATTAATCGCATTCTACAAAATCGATGCCATTCAATTAGAACTTTCGGTCAAATATCGATTTTTCAAGAAAATGAATTAAAAATCCCCTACGCTAAATTGCCTTTCATTTCTTCTTATGATCGGCAAGAGCAGATTGCTACCAGAAATTTGGACTCTTTGACCATGGAATTTATTACGGGAGATTTGCGTCAAGAATAGCTGAATGTTTCAGAAACATCTTGAGTTTGTCTTTTCTGATTTGATTGCCGTGAATAGTTAATCCAACAGGAATTGCTAGAGGATGCATGCGGATTCTCTTTTTGCAATTACAGATCTAAGTGACTCAATCCGAAAGGGCAATCCATAAAGTTTAAAGAAAACGATTTTTTTAAAAAGAAAAAAAATTCTTCCAGCCAATAATTGAAGAATTTCCTCTAACAGACGGCACAGGATTCAATTCTGGTAATTTCTTTCAAACAAAGTTTAGGTCTTACCTCTCTCTGAATTGATGAAACTTCTGAGACAGTTATGTCTAAAAGGACTACGTGCAAAACGGGCCATTTGGGGCTCGGGGCGGATACCTTTGAGACTTGCCCTATTCATTCACCTAACAATGCCCCATCTTTTCCCAAAGTTTCAAGCCCCCCAAAAATTTTGGGGAGACGCGGCGGGGGGTCAAAGTTAAAAACCGGCAAAATTTTCGCGAATTTATTACTCAAAAACCAAAAAGTTTTGGAAAACGCGGTTTAAACGAGCGTATTCAGCGTGACGAGAGCTTTCAGAAAATGTATAACATCATAGGGTTTTGTCAACTTCAGCTCGAGTTATCGCCTCCGAAGCGCCGGAACGCTCAAAAAAGACCCCTTATTTTTTCACGTTTGGGCCGATTTAAAAAAAAGCCATTTTTTCATTTTGATGAAAAACTGATATGTTGTTCCTGACTCTCTGTAGCCCCTCTAGCTCTTTACCGCATGCTGGGGAAATGTTTTGGTCGCGAGTTATAAGAGCGGAAAGGAGCGAAAGTCGGGAAAATCGGCTATTTTAAACTGCCCGCGCGGCGTTGATCGGAGGGAAAACGTCCCCTCCCACTCAGTTCGCCGAATCATACTCCGCTGCCGACCTCGCATTGTTGCCACGTGTCTCTTGATCCGTCGCCGCGCGCAGTTTAAAATAGCCGATTTTTCCGACATTCGCTCCTTTCCGCTCTTATAACTCGCGACCAAAACATTTCCCCAGCATGCGGTAAAGAGCTAGAGGGGCTACAGAGAGTCAGAAACAACATATCAGTTTTTCATCAAAATGAAAAAATGGCTTTTTTTTAAATCGGCCCAAACGTGAAAAAATAAGGGGTCTTTTTTGAGCGTTCCGGCGCTTCGGAGGCGATAACTCGAGCTGAAGTTGACAAAACCCTATGATGTTATACATTTTCTGAAAGCTCTCGTCACGCTGAATACGCTCGTTTAAACCGCGTTTTCCAAAACTTTTTGGTTTTTGAGTAATAAATTCGCGAAAATTTTGCCGGTTTTTAACTTTGACCCCCCGCCGCGTCTCCCCAAAATTTTTGGGGGGCTTGAAACTTTGGGAAAAGATGGGGCATTGTTAGGTGAATGAATAGGGCAAGTCTCAAAGGTATCCGCCCCGAGCCCCAAATGGCCCGTTTTGCACGTAGTCCTTTCAGGCGTATTTCATTCAAAGTTGGTTTTTATGCGGCTCCTTTGTCTTTATTTCACCTTAAGGTACATGTCACCAAGTATCTAGGGTTTGTGTTAGGTTTTGACAGCATGAAGCATTTTTGAATTTCGAGTGACACTGTAAATCATCGTAACATTTGAAAGGCTTGGAGGGCAAGGCGCATAAGTGCAGTTTTTACTATTTTGAGAAATATGTGTTTGAAGTGTTGAAATTACATGGATCCCTATGGCGGAAAGAAAATTCAAACTGACATTTTGATGCTTAAAAATTGGAATTTGGCAGCGAATTTTTCACAGAATATGCATTAAGAATAGTTTTACTTGAAATCATTAGTACCTCAATTTTTTCAAAAACTGCACTTTTGCGCCGTGTTCTCCAAGCCCCTCATTTGTTAGTGTTATGAAACGAAAATTCTCCTGGTTTATCACTGTTATTGCCAGGCTTTCCAAAGGTTAATAAAAAATAAACCAATCTAAAATATGTATGTGCGCTCCTGCGCTGTAACTAATGATGAACACTTTATGATTGATTCCTACAATTTAAGGATTTCCATAAATTTTGAGGAAGATTATTTGACTTTCTTTTGTCGAGGAAACTTGCATCTTGTTGAAAGGTGTTTCCAAATTTGTAGCATCAGTGTACTATCCGTTAAGGGTAATCAGATGATTTTCAAATGTTCTTGAGCTCAAGCAGTGAATAGTCTCTTTTAGATTCTGCAATCCGTAGGACATTAAAATGGACATCTTCCCGAAATATTGCACTATAACATAAAATTCCCTCTAAGCTGACTTTTTTGTTCTCTGACTGAAATTTTAGTCATTGTTCATTACTTATCTCTTTATTTTTTTATTTTTCACATCGTAGTACGTTTATAATAAAAGATTTACATTATCTTGGGGGTAGGCATCATAAAGTTTGGTAAAACATTGCGCAGTCATTTCAGAACCCTAAACTCTAGTCTCTTTAAAGCAGAAGCAAAAAGAAAGATTGTTCTAGTTTGAGCAGTAAAGTTCCAAAATAAATACTCCTAAACCAGCGCCAAGTCCTAAGCCCAGACTTATGAACGTGACATGTAGATCTGCCATTGAAAAAAGTCTGCAAGCCTTTTCTCCGTTGCCTGTTGGTGAGGGCCTCCATCTACCATTAGCAGTCCAATGATCAAATCGCAGGTGTTGATTTGATCCCAACACACCACTTTCTAGCAAAGAGGTCAGTATATCGTTGATTGCACTGTGGTAAAAAGAATCCTTTGATACCAAATACATGAACGGATTACTTGTGATCTGTTCGCGAACATAGTGAAACTCATGCTCTTGATCAGTATCAGACCCTCTAATTATAACATTATTCTGCTCTGCAAATGAAGCCATGACGTCAAGAGAGGTGACGCTGATTTTCGATGGAGGGAGGTCCATCATCACGACCAGAGCAAACTAGATCGGATTCGTATACGCCTAGAAATTCAACAGGAGATAAAGCTGATGGGTTTTTAAGTCTCAATTCGTAAGATAAAGCACATAGAAAGAATAGACATTGATTTTTTAGGTACTTACTCAAATTTTATGCCAGGAAATAGTCTAATTTTTTCTATAAAACATAGAGGAATTGGTGTTTTACCTGAATGAGAATATGTTAGTGGCCAATGTTTTTTGTTCCTTGCCCAAATGAAAGATTAACATTTTTTGATTGTCCCTTATTTCACTTAAGTTATTATAGGATTTTTTGCAAAACACTGTTTGCTGCTATACATTTATCATATTACTCTGGTTTTCAAACAATATTATATTGTGTCCATGGCTTATTTGATCAAATTTGGTCGCCATCCTGTGGCTCTGTCTTTATTTCAAAACACTGTGGCCAGTGCCTTCAATGTATTGGAAGGTAGTGTGAGCAGGTAGGAGAGCATTCTGTCAATAATTTTGACAGCATGAAGTATTTTTAAACTCTTGTGAAATGGCAAATTACCAAGACACTCGACATTATTTTGTACGGATGTTTCAAATGATGTATTGAACGATTTTCAAAGAAAGAAAATTGAAGGTCAAATGAGATGGTTCTTTTGAGCGGAGAGCAAAAGATGTCTAAGTATATTAAATCTTTGTCCAAATTCAGCAATTCATCGATTTGCATTATTTCGTTGTTAAGACTACCTATTAATTTTGTGCCTTGTACTGATCTGATAAGTTTTTCTTCCCAACATTGGACAGTCTTACAACGTAGGGTAGACTTTAGACACACACAGCAAGGGTGGTGGCTGGTTGGGGTCCTCAAAATCATGCTTTGAAGACTTCAGTTTACGCTGAGAATATGCACTGAGACAATTATAAGAGATATTCATAAAACTAACAGTTTCATCATTAAGTAAAAAAAAAATTATTATTTATGAGGGCAACTCTTTAGCAGTTCTCATTATGATAAGAAAAAATTATTTTGTAGCAACCGCCCTCCAAAATTAAAAAAAATTCAATATTCCCTGAATTCTAAGCCGTCCTGCAAGCTAATTATCGGAATTGATAGACAAAGCAATAGACAAAGAAGACAAAGGGAAAATGAAGAGATCGTATTGATGGAAGGGGGCAGTTACAATGGACAAAGGAGGTAAGTAATAGACTACCTAAAAGCAACTCCGAGAGACTCAAAAGTTAGTTCATAGTTTTTCCACTTAATCTGTCACAACCACCCGTTTCTACCGACAGGTTTGTTTCATTTTCCCTGTCTGCCTTGTCGATCGCTTTGTCTATCAATTTCAATAATCAGCCCGCTGTACCTTACACTCATCGCGAACGAGAGCATCCCGCTGCCATCCTTTCCCTGACGAAGGAACGTAACTCTATTCCAAGGTTGCAAAATTAGCCCTAACAATTTAGTTTTTACAAGAGTGTACCTGTAAAATTTTCGTTTAAAATTTGTCCAATTTTCTTATGAGATCAAGAGAAAAATCAGCGAAATGTTCCATTAGAAATGCCCAAGATTCTGGTAGAAATGCATTTCGTGATGGGAAATTTGGCAACATTGAATTATAGTTATGTCCTTTTGTGAGGGAATCGACGGTATATGCAGGGTGTCCCAAAAGTCCGTACCCCCCCTCGTAACTTTTGAACGGTTAGAGATAGAAAAACGAAACTTTGAGAATGTCTCTATCTTAAAGGGGGCCATCTAACTACGCGGCACCAACCAAACCAATGGAACCAATGGCATGTATGTTGTTTCTGAAATGGGCCAGAAATACTGGTTCCTTATTGCAAATTGGACCGCGTTAAACAGAAAGGAACCAAGCCACATCAGCTATTGCCAAATTTAACTGGGCAATTTAATTTTTTACATGAAAACGGTTGTGCGGATTTTCGTGCAAATTTCAGTGAAATTTCTCCATGGTACGCAGCAAATTCCTTAAAATGTTTAAAGAAATCCGAACAAACGTTCTCTCATAAAAAATTCAACTGCCCAGTTAAACTTGGCAATAGCTGATGTGGCTTGGTTCCTTTCTGTTAAACTCGGTCCAATTGTAATCCACTTAAACGTCCCTTTCGCAAGGGCTCCCGATAGTGTGTTCGGGCTGGGGCCGAGTGGGCAGTCTATTCTCGGTGTGACTTTTTTTTTTTTTTTTTTTTTTTTTTTTTTTTTTTGTATGGTCGTTTAGTTTGGGTGGGTGAGGGAAAAAGGACGCGAAGTCGTTGACCTTGACACAGTTGATGAGCTGCTCAAAGCCGTAAAAGGTCGTTGGTATATCGGAACTTAGGAGATTCCGCGCATATCATTATCGCGGAGATGTCCAAGATGCCTCATTGTCCTGTCGATACTCCAAGTTCTTGGCTCGAAACTGGCGCCTCGCCGCACAGTGGAACCAGTGGCGTGGCGTGAATTGCGATATATCGATTGTTATGCCATTTAAACCTATGGTAAAGAATCGATAATTAAGGTCTTCGCTGCGAAAACCCTGATAATCGATCTTTTTTCATAGGTTTAAATGGCATCACAATCGATATATCGCAATTCACGCCACGCCACTGAGTGGAACGAGCTAATCCGCTGTCCTAAAGAAAAACGCCGTATGAGCCTTCAGGTGTTGCCAAATATCCTTTGATAAAACACGAATTTCCTGGTAAACACGTAGATTTTTTCTTTCAATTTCTCATATAATTTTGCTCGCAATTTCACCTGAAGTTCCTGAAAATTTCAAGGGAAAATATTCGTAACTTGCCTCGAAAATAAACATTTTATCGAAGGAAATTTGGCAACTCTCGAATGTTCATATGGCGTTCTTCCTTAGCACGGCAGAATGGTAGAGGTCGAACGTGACATTTTTGGCTAAAATTTCAAATCGACGGTGTAAGTCTGCAATCACATAACTCGGTTTGCGACGTCGCGGACTTCCGGTCACGATTTATTTTTTAAAGGGAATACTACTCAACGGTAATTCTTCAGAACTACCTTGATTTTTCTTCTCGGTGCGAAGAAAATTCTGCATAAATTTCAAGGAATGATGTCAATTTGTTCTCCTTTAAAAGAATAACATGTAGGCGGAGATTTTCAAACACCGCAAACGAGTACTATGTGATTGCCGACTTACACCGTCGAAATTTTGACGTTTATTTCGGCACGAACTCAATTTCAAGGGTTGTTTCTGAAAGGAGATTTGGATTGCATTTTGCAAAAAGGAACCACTAGCATTGCAATGATGCTAAGATTGTGCAACTTCATCTTTCACAATAAAATTGCGGAAATCGTGAAAAACTATGAAATTTAGATGGTAATTTTTGTCTTAAATTTACAGTTTTTAGCGAGTAAAATAGAAACTATGAATGGATAATCGGGTTTTTCCTCCAAGACAAAAGAAGTCGCACAATCTTAGCAACATTGCAATGCTAGTGGTTCCTTTTTGCAAAATGCAATCCAAGTCACGGAAAACCCAAATGGAACCACTTTTAAACCTTTTTGCTCCGTATTCTCGAGAATATGAGCTTTCAAAGTTTCCAGATTTTGTCTGACTTTTCTTATTATTGACTCTGTCCAGTGTGCGCCGCCGCCGGTGAGTTTACGGGCTCTTCTCCTGTTTCTGTCATCCTTTTCCTTGACCCCTTTAACGTGGATCTTCAGCTTTGGTGCAATGCATTCAGGGTACAATTGGAGGGTATGGATTCTACCGACATGAATCGATCGAACTGAAACCGTGAATCGATCCACATGAACCGATCGACAAATTATTAATGAAGCTGTGCCGGTTCGATCGACATGATTCGATCCAAAAATGAAAACGTGAACCGATCGACAAATCCCTGAATCGATCGAGCAACCTAGTAAGTCGATCGACAACGCCGTGAATCGGTCGACAAACTCGTGAATCGATCGAAAACTCCGTGAACCGATCGGCAAATCCCTGAATCGATGGACCAACCTAGTAAGTCGATCGACAACGCCGTGAATCGGTCGACAAACTCGTGAATTGAGCGACAATTCCGTGAATTGGTCGACAAACCCACGAATCGGCCGACAAGCCCGTGATCGATCGACCAAATCCGTGAATTGATCGACAAACTCGTGAATCAATCGCATTTTGTCGATCGAATCACGTCGATCCGTTTACATTTTTTTTTCGATCGATTCATGTCGATCGAACCCACATTCTCCGCTACAATCGCCTTATTTTCAATTCCAACACTCAGGTCGATTATGCTGGAAAAATCGGAATTTCTGTCCCTAGATAAATCATCAAGGAGTTTTTGTGCCGAAAATCATATTTTAAAATCTTACTCTGTAGCATACAGGGTGGCCCAGACCTACCGCATCAGGCCTTTTTTTAAGTTATGGGTCTACGAAGTCCAGGATCGCGGAGAGGAATAGGGAACCGACCCCAAGGAATCCGAATTTCATGGTCCCAGCCCCCCCCCCCTGGCGCCCCTTGGGAGGGGGGTAAAAGGAGGGTACTTCAAACCGGGACCGTGAACTTCGTTCACTCAGAGACTTCAACGCTGGAGTAGAAAAGTTGGATGAGGCGAAACGCATAATACAACTTTTGAGCGTTCACCACGTTAGTGTACGCTCTTTCCGGTCGTTTTGCAGCGGGTATGTTACTAATGGATCCATTGGTAAAGGCCCGCACTGCTCCATGGGAATCGGCGCCATTTTCCGTGGCGGGAAGCAATACGTAGTTTCTCAATTTTATTTATGTACCATTTCTACCTTTTTTCTCCTATTTTGTCCACTTTATGTAATGCCTGTAGGCTTGTCTTTGAGAAATTAATAGCTACACCAGGCATCTAGAAATCCACGATAATGGAGATGTTTCATGTGTGAGGAATTTGCAATTTGACCATTGATTCTTGTGTGAAAGTTGGCGAGAAACACGATGGTGCCACTGGTTTTCTCTGAAATCAACTCCCAAGCTCAAAAAAAGCTCTCAAGTTGAGGCCAAAATGGAGGGGATATCCCACGCTATCCTGAGAGTCCACCCCTGCTACATGAAGACGAACTCTCCATGCAAAGATAGAGAGCAAATACATCGACAGGGCTGCCACTTTATTTGGGGGACTCTAAAACTGAAAACACGGCAACCCTGCTAATGTATTTGCTCTCTATCTTCGCATGGAGAGTCTGTCTTGATGTAGAGGTGGACTCTCAGGATAGCGTGGGATATCCCTTCCCTTTTGGCTTCAACTTGAGAGCTTTTTTTGAGCTTGGGAGTTGATTTCAGAGAAAACCAGTGGCACCATCGCGTTTCTCGTAAACTTTTACGTTAGAATCAACAGTCAAATCGCAAATTTCACACACATGCAACATCTCCATTTGACGCGGCGCAGGGTGGCGCCAACGCGTAATGCATAAGCATAAAGTCGTACGTACGGAAAGACGCGATTGAAACGAGGGCGCCTTCAATATTCCACTATGCAACAAGGACAATCGTCGGACACGAATAGTGACATCCGTAAATCCACAGTAATTTGACACGGCCACGGCGCATGGCGCTTTTTCACGAAAGTAGTTTTTCGAATGTTGAATGAAAACGTTTGCAGACCAATTTCACTCGTTCTAAAGATGCAGGCGTCCTCTGAAAGTTGTAGTCTTATGATAGTTAGTCGGAAACTCAATCTCTGAACATTTGGCGGTTACGCCCCTCT